CACCACCATGTCCAGCTCTCAATGTTAGATTCTAATAGCTTTTAAAGATTTCTATATGTTTCAGGATTACTGAAGGAACAAGCCACACAAAAGAATATCATAACTTTATAATCCAGAGCTTAAATTAGTCTATTTCTTTTTTATTTCCATTTGAAATAGATCTTTTCTAGTCTTTTAGTGCCATTTTACTTTTTCTGAGCGATGCTAATCTGTTAACATATCTGAGAGATACTTTCTGTTAAAGCAAGACCCTTCCAATACTCCCGGTACTGTGTCCTCGTCAAAGTGAGCTTTTGGTTGTAATCCCTTACATTATTAGACAGTCACCGTGCCAAAATCACTATCCATCTTCGGTGCATAGATGTAACACTTCCTGAATAACTTCTAATCCCATTAATTGGAGCACTTTCAAAAGAAATAAAGCAGCTGTAGCTGGTGACTCACACCTGTAATCCTAGCTACTCAGGAGGCAGACATCAGAAAGATCACTGTTCAAAGCCAGCCCCAGGAAAACAGTTCAAGAGACCCTATCTCAAAAATATGCATTACAAAAAAAGGGCTGGTAGAGTGGCTCAAGTGCTAACAGCTGACTTCATTCTCTTTGGGTTTTACCCAAAGAGGGATTACTGATAGTTCTGTTTTTCCTTATGAACTTCCAAACTGTTTTCAATAATCATCAGTGTGCTAGGGTTTCTCCACATCTTCAACACACCAGCCACCCTATGAGATGTGAGGTGAAGGTGATATCTCACTGAGGTTTTGATTTGCATCTCCCCAATGGCTAGTGATCATCAGCACCTCCATCTCCCTCTGGATGGTGTGGCAACCTTACTAACTCCTGATGCTCTGGCTGCTGGAGGATTTCACTGCCTCTTAGAAATAGGACTAAGCGTATGGATAGCATCTTTATACATTTTCAACATGATATTTTTAAATCAAAGAGGTGCCATGTTATCCATATTCATGAACTCTTTTGGATGGGATAAAGGGCTTCCCAGATATTGACTTTGTAATAAAGGCACTTTTAAAGAAATAAAATTTTGCAGTTCTTAAAAAGACTGAACCTTGTCAAAACTTTTTCAGCATCTATTGAGATGATCACATGGCTTTTCTCTTTCATTCTGTTAGTCTGGTGTGCCACACTGATTGATTTGCATATGTTAAACCAAACTTGTACCCCAGAGATAAATCCAATAAGCTTGTGATGTACAGTCTTCGTGATGTAGTTTCAAAATTCTGCTTGCTAGCATGTTGTTGAGGATTTTTGCAGCTATGTCCAACAGAGCTATTGGCCTATAGTTTTCTTACAGTGTCTTGAGCTTTGGTATCAGGGCAAGGCTGGTCATGCACTGAATGTGGTAGCATTCCCTTAGTTCCCCCCACACCCAAAAGAGTTTAAGAAGTGTTGGTACCACTTTTTTGAAAGTATGGTGGATCAGCTATAAAGCCATCGTACTGGGAGCTTTTAAATGACTACTTCAATCTCTGTATTTGTTGGTCTACTCAGGTCTTTTATTTCTTCCCAATTCAATCTCAGTTAGGTGTATGTGTCTAGAAATCTATTCATTTCCTTGATGCTACTTTTTTGGCATAAAATTGCTCAGTATAGTCCCTTATTATCCCTTTTATTTCTGAGGTATCCATTATATCTCAACTTTCATTTCTGATTTTCTTTGCCTTTTTATCTTAGTTAATCTCACTAAGACTTTGTCAATTTTGTTTATTCTTTCAAAAAAATCAACTCTTTATTTTGTTGATTTATTGTGCTTTTCTACTTGACTTACTTTTACTCTAAAAATTTTTACTCTTATCTGCCTTATTTCATTCCTCCTAACTTTATATTTAGTTTATTCTTTTTCCAGTTTTTTTAGTATGGTATTAGATTGATATCTTCCTTTTTTTTTTTTTTTTGTGGTGGTACTGGGGTTTGAACTAAAGGCCTCACACTTGCTAGGCAGGTACTTTACCACTTGAGCCTCTCTGCAAACCCTTTTTTGTGTTGAGTATTTTCAAGATAGGGTCTTTCTAACTGTTTGCCCTGGATATCTTCAAACCACAATCCTCCAGATCGCTGCCCCTGAGTAGGTAGGATTACAGGTGTGAGCCACTGGCACCCAGCAAGATCTTTCTTCTTTAATGCAGCCATTTAACATAAACTACAAACTTCCCCCTTAGAACTGCTTTTGCTACATCCCATGGGTTTTGGTACATTGTATTTCTATTTTCATTTGTCTCAAGATATTTCTTTAATTTCCCTTTTGATTTCTTCTTTGATTCATTGGTTGTTCAGGGGCATGGTAATTTCCACATATTTATAAATACCTTGTTTTCCTCCTGTTCTTGATTTCTAGTTGCATATCATCTTTTCAGAAAAGATACCTGATATGATTCTAACCTTGGTAAATTTATTAAGATTTGTTTTATGCCCCAATACAAGCACCCTTGAGAAGAATATGGATTATTGCTGCTGTTGAATGAAGTATTTTGTATATATCTGTTCAGTCCATTTGGACAAATGTGTAGTTCAAGTCCAATGTCCCTTTACTCATTTTCTGTCTGAATGATCTACCCACTTTTGAAAGTGTGGTGCTGAAGTCCTCTACTATTACTGTTGAACTGTTGTCTCTTTCTCCCTTGAGACATGTTAATAATTGCTGCATATACTTAGGTGCTCGAATATTGGATGCACTTACATTTACAATTGTTCCTCCTCTTGATGAACTTATCACATGAGACTTTCCTTAATGTCCAGTTCTTTGAGCAATGTAATAATAGCTTCTATAACCAAAGCTTACAGCTACCAAGAAACCCTCTTTTTATCTCTAAAGTCTGCTAAGTGGTTTCAATATGGTTTAGGAATTAAACTTTGTTTCCAAGATGAATAGGGTTTTAGAATTTAAATGTGTCTGTTCCTAATCTTTGTACTCAGAATAAAAATACCAGGTATCCAAGTGCTGATCTTCTGAGGCCCCCTAGTGCTAAACTGAGGCTTTAGCACTGCAAACTCAATGGCATTGAGACATGCCTTCAACTGTGAGATTAACTATGGAATCGATCTGCAGCCTGTCTAAAATCTCTGGAGAAACCACTAATACTGATGAAATGTAGAAGACCTATTTTAGTTAATTCAACTTGAATTACTTTGACCAACTTTCCGAAGACAAGTAAAGGCCTAGAAAACCCTAATTAATACTTAATACTATTTTTCAAAATTATACTAACATTGCATTTTACTTTTTTCTTGATTTAGTTAAAGTATTAATGTGTCACTCACTATACAACACTCAAAATACTGAAAGCTTCAGATGACAACACATTATGATTTCATCTTTCATAAGGAGAACATATCACCTATTTGTTTTTAATAAATAATTTTATTTAAAAATCAAATTTAAAAACTCAGTTCAATATTAATGTTGATCTGACTTCTAGAATTTCATAGTAATTAGTCTATGTCATTATAACAATTGCCATAGTTATTTATAATAATACTTCAATGGCATTGTTTTTCTTTTTTTTTCTTCTGCATTGTCTTTCTTACTTTCTTACTACTGTGTCTTCAACTGATAAGACACCTTAGTATTTAGCAAAGAGTTCAGATGTATTACAAATGACTTAGCAGTAATTAAGTACCCATGTCTGCAAACAGTATACTTTTCTTTTTTCATGTGTATAAAGGAACCTATCTCCAAGCCACTACCAATCCTCTCTTCCCACCCCAACTTCCAATGCTTCTATGCAGAGCCACAGAATTTCTATCTTAATAATGTTGGGGAAAAGCCCTTCATCCTCTTCTGCTCTCTTCCTCTAATCTCTCCTTAGCATGGGAGTGGGAGAGACTTCTCTAACTGGAAAGGCTATGCGGAGGGGCGCTGAGCACACCTCACTCATGCCTCATAGCTTTCTTTCAAGGGATCCAGCCTTTTGATGACAGGCTTTCTTCTCCAGGACTGTAAACGGGCTGTTCCTACAAAGTGAGGAGTTCAAGTTGTCCAGTGTCTGCCTATGAATACATGAGTTTAATAAGTAAAAAAAAAATAAGGCACATTCCTTGATAGCTCCAAAAGTTGTAGAAAATTATTGCATTTGATAGGTCAAATAAAGCCTTTCCTTTACTCAAGGACATATATCTGAGACACTTCTTCAAATTAAGTATTCTTTAGATTTATTTTAAAGAATTCCATAAGTCTGTATAAAACCCAAGGAAATATGCAAGGACATATGAATAAAATGTTTGCTTTTGGCCTGGGCCTGACTTGTAAGCTATCTTAATTTTTCCTACTATTACTCTGGGTTTCTGATTTTTCTTTTCTTTTCTTTTCTTTTTTTTGTCATCTAAAAAAAAAAAAATGAAAGTACAGCTAACATTCAGCATTTAACCTATGCTCACAAATCATAATCATATTGATAATTATCCCATAATTCAAATTTGCATTAAAACAATTCACTAGATTCTATAAATATTCTATCACTATTCATCAGGAACAACATGTATAAGATGACTCCAACTTCACACAGCATTCAAGCTAATTTTCATGGGTGTTTTTTTTTTTTTCTCCTTTTTGTTAATTGCCATGAGGCTACTTATTAGTATGGGTTTCTAACTTACCATGGGTAAATTTCAAATACCAACATAACCTTACACTCTTACCTTCAATAATACTTAAACACTAGAGGCTAACTCCTCACTGGCTGCCCATTCTGAGGAAAGTACCAAAATCATACTGTCTGACAGACCTATGTCTAATCTTTCTACCAACAATGATGTAAACCTGAGTAGCATATGTAACTTTCATGGTCCTCAGACTTTTCATTTGAAATTGGGATAACCCTTATAGAGTTTTCTATGAGAGAAAATATGTGAAAACCATAACACATACTAGACGTAAGACAAACTAGTTCTAATTCAGATGAAGGTCACCATGCATCCACAGCATTACTGCAACAACATTTACAAAGACTCTAAATAACATATTATATTTAGTTTTAAGTTAACTTACCAAGACAGGAGTACAAACCCTGACTTATCCAAGCTAATATGGCGAGAGTTATAAGATCACCAAAACTAGCAGCAATGGGTGTAGCAACATTATCGGGATTTATACCAGTCTTCTTTGAGCCAACAATAACTCCAACCATTATTATTCCTAGAAGAAACAATGTTCATTATTTTTGATGCTATGATTCAGAAAAATCAATCCCTCAAATATAGAAATATATAGGCTAGACAACCAGCACATCAGTTTCAACAGAAGTTTAGATAAACTGATTAAGCAAACAAAACATTTTACTGTAATGCTTTGGCAGAATGTCCTTCAGCAAATTTCAAGTGGAAATGGTAGCAGATCTGAGAAATTCAATGTTACACTTAAAGATCTTCAAGTTACTGTAAAATTATGTTAAAGCTACAGTTTTTTGGTGGCACTGGGGTTTGAACTCAGGGACTTATACTTGCTAGGCAGGCATTCTACCACTTGAACCACTTTGCCAGCCCAAAGCTAAAATTTTAATTTAGTAATGTGTATGCCTTAGATGTATTTGTGTATATAGACTCAAAGATTTTAATTTTAATTTTAATCCTTAAATGAAGTATGAAAATACCAAAGAAAGGTGAATCATATTTATATGCGTAGCAACTGGGAAGAAGACCAAGATTTGTTTAGATATGGAGGCTAGAAATGCCTGCTTTGTTTTATTATTTAAAAAGTTAAGTATTAAGAAGAGGAAAACTATTAAATTTTGAACACTAAGCCCAGAACATAAGAAATAGTCTTTGTAAAAAACGTTCTTTAAATCCAAAGTTTCCGTCTATAAACCTACAACAAAAGATGAAGATGTGACAGGTGACAGTGTACTTGCACTTTTAAATCCTTTTTTTATCCTCATTTTCTTGAATCATACAAATGGGAGAAAAATGATCACATTTATATCCATTTCCAATTGTATAAATTTTCTCATGCCAACACGTTCATTAAGAGGATGCAGCACAAAGAAAACTTTACATGTTTAGTTCATTTATGTTCTAGTTGTAAATCATTTGAAACCTAAATATGGCTAAGGAAACAGGGTCTCGCCACAGTTTTAGAATAAAAATGACCATAAATGTTTTTATTCTAGCATACTCATTTTATGAATAATAAAACTGAGGTCCTGGGGCATTGCACTTCAATTCCTGCCTAGGTCACACAGTTTGTAATTTTAGACCAGTGTTTTTTACTGTACCCCATATAAAGCCAACACAATATAAAGTAAAATTCTCATCTTGTCAAACAATACCTCATCTCTTATACTCCAGCAGGTCTTTTAATCATTTAATCATTGAACATACCTTTTTCATAATATATGTATATATGTATATATATATATATATATACATATAATGTAATTTTTTCATAATATCATTGTGAAAAAAAATGATAGAATAGCAGAAAATATGAAAAAAGTCCAACAATCCAACAAGATGTGATTATATAGAAATCTTTTTTTCCAAAATGAGCACATTTAAAGATCTATGTGGGAAGTTGTCCTATAATGGTGCCATAGCTAAAAACAAATAGATTGCATGGATCATGCCCAGCAGAAAGAACTGGCAGTCAGGAGACCTGGGTTTTAGTTCTGACTCTGCTACTAACAAGCTGATAAAAATTGGACACCTTATCTGTCTGCATCAGTTTTCTCACCTACAAAATGTGGTTTATAGTATCTACTCTACATATATTAAGATGGTTAAAAAACCAAGTTACTAAAAAACTAGAACACACATTATTCAAAGTGAAGAAGCTTTAAAAAATGTATAATATTTTAAAATTAAAATTTTTGACAGTTTTGAAAATCTTAGGCAATTGAAATACTTATTAGACTGAAAATTTTAAATTTCTTAAATAAACAAAAATCAGAAAGAACACAAATAAATGAGCCTAAAGACATAGACTGCTTATGCTAAAACTTTTTTCCTTTTACCAGAGTTAGTTCCATCCAATTCTGCTTTGTCCAGAGTTAGTTCCATCCAATTCTAGTAATTCCATGCAAAGACAAGAAACTATCTCTGATATTTTAAAACAAAACCAAAATGCTATAAAGTATTTTAGAAGTCAAATCAATTTTTTTGGGGGGAGGAAGTACTGGATTTGCACTCAGGGCTTCACACTTGTAGACAAGTGCTCTACCACTTGAGCCATGCCTCTAGCCCTTCAAGTCTTAAATTTTGATATGATTCCCCAAATTACTAGAACCTAGCTAAAAAAAAACTGTTTCCTGCACTATATATATCACCTGACATGGCAATCTTTGGCTTTTAACTTTTTTTTTTTTTGCAGTACTGGGATCTGAATGCAGGGTCTTGAGCATGGTTGGCAAGTGTGCTACCACTTGAGCCACTCCCCCAGCCTTTTTGCTTGTTTTTGAAATAGGGTCTTGCTAACTTTTGCCTAGGTTGGCCTCAAACCACAATCCTCCTATTTTCATTCCCCAAGTAACTGGGATTACATGGTGGCATGTACCACCATGTCTAGCCATTTTTTAACTTTGCTGATGATAAAGGGTGAGAAGATGGCAATTGCAAAATAATAAGAACCAAGTCTTTATGATTATGATTCCATGATAAGCTAGTTGTCTAGTGTATATAAAGAAAGATAGACATGCATGGTGGCCCACATCAGTAATCCCAGCATCTGAGACGCTAATGCAGTAGATAAGGAGTTAAAGAGGCCAGTCTCTGGGCTGCATAGCAAGACCCTGCCTCAAAAAAAAAAGGAGAAGAAGAAAAAGAAGATAATTCAACTAAGTTCTAATACAGATATTTTTAAACTTCTGTTCTTCAACATTCAACAGCCAACAATAGGCTGCTTTAAGCATAAAGGTATGTTTGTATTGCCACAGAAACAGTGAAGACATTTGGGAGCTTTGGAGGTTCTTTAGATATGAAACTTTAAAATTTTTTAATAGAGGAATTACTTTTAAAATTCTGAATTCCTGGAAGCCTTGTTACTCAAGTGACAAGCCAGTAAGTTCCCTGCATGATTTCCAGAAAGGAGTTGCACAATTAATTCAATTTACAGAAGCAAATAAATGTCTAGCATATTATCCTGATCTTGTTGGGAAACTATTCCAGAGTATCTAAAACCAGGAGTCAGCTTCAAAAACCCTATTCTTCAGTCTTATAATGGAATATAAATATATCTGAAATAAGATATTTTGAAGTCTGATAACTTTTTTGTTGTTTTCATCAATAACAAGTATCATTTCAAGAAAAAGTCATCATCTTAAGAAGTAAATCACTTAAAAAAAAAGGACTGCAGAGCAGACATTTACAAACTCACTCACCCTGCAGAAGAGAGGCAATGAAGGCAGTTACCACACTGCTAGAGCACAAAAGTATGGAATGACTGAGGTAATATTTTCCTTCTGGAATCCAGCCCAATATAATTGCTGCCACAGCTGCTAGAAAACCAACTACTGTTGCCTGAACCTGAAAATATTTTTTATAAAATCCAAAGGAATTAGTAATTTTAAAAACATTTAAATTTTTTTATTATGTAAACATTATATACAAGAAGTCAGAAGAAAGTACATGAGTTAACTGAGCTACATTACCTTTTAAAGAAGCTACTATATTTTAATTTTAACACTGGTTAAGATAGTGTGTTCTCAAACTACCCTGGTCTGGTGTGGAATGGGGTCTAGGAATCTGTATTTAGCAAGCACCCAACACTCACCTTCTCCTTCTCAAGCTTTAGCAGGCAAAGCCTCTGGAAGAGAACAGCCTCCCAAACCCTACCCACAGTCCTCCTCCTTCTCCTCTTGCTTTTGTCTATTGGTAATAGCTCCAACCAACTGCTGCCTCACTTGCTGGCACCAGCGGTGTCTTGATAGGTCTGCTTGGGGTTCCCAGTTCTTCACACATCCTTAGTGGAGTAAGGCAAAGACACAGGCATTGGGCTATGGCTACTAGGATCAGCAAATCCCCAGTCAATTCTGGCAACCATCCTGACCAGCAAGTGCAGGAAGAAAGGGTGACAAAGAAAGTGGGAAGACTAGGAATGGATGGAATATTAAAAGCTGAGATGGAAATTATTAGAATGATTTGACAAATAAGTATGACTATAACACATATTACTTCATAAGAGTTCAGGGCATTTAAAATATAAAATCAAATATATTTTTAATTTTTTATTTTTATGTTGTATTTATGATACCCTACTGGTCTTTTTGGTCTCATTTTGTTTGTTTGTTTGTTCTGTTCTGTTTATGGTGCTGGGTATTAATTTACTCTATTCTTACAGGTAACACCCATGATCTGTAAACTCAAGATCTGTAAATAATCTGTGTGTCACTTACCTGCTTTAAAGCCAAGTTGCCAATTATTAGGTTCCACTTTTCAATGGGTGAGTCCATCTTCCCAACATTTACCTGTGAAGGTGAATGATCACTGAATAATCTATATGATATCTTTCTGTTCAAACAGCACATAAAGTCTTAAAGTACAAAATAAATCTTTAGTAAATCTGATAAATGCACATCACATTTTGAATATAATTCTTAACTCACTACTAGTCTTGCATCTAATATTCAACTTGACTGAGATGTAAAGAAAAATTTTTTTGATTTAACTGTCTTCCAAGAACAAGTGGACTTGTTACTGTTATCCACCATTTGCTGATGTTGTTTTACAACTAATATCAGGTGTCACCGTAAAATGCCAAATTTTGTGTACTGAGGCCCAATTAGAATAAATGCATAATTTTGAGCTGCTGCATTTCATCCCTTATCATAAAACTAATGCAATTTGAAGAATTACTAACCAAAAAGTCAAGATTTAAGAAAATCATTCATTTGCACACGACTTGAATCATGGCTAAAATGTAGTTTTAACCATGGACAGACTGGGCTCTAGCTTCAGAATTATGCCAAATTTAGGAAATAATACTGTAACCATAATTATATCTAAATAATGCTATGGTTATTAACATTTTTAGTATTTGGACTTTAACTTTTCTTTACCTTAGAAGTTTTACAATTTGAGTTGGAATTCCAACATAAAATTTTAGGGGAAGAGGTTTTGTTTCATGTCTCTCCACAGGAATGTTAGCACAAGAAAGCCAAGGAACAGTCTCTGTTTTATCACCAATTCTCTAGAACATGGAGCAGTGCTCGCCATATAGAAAGGGCTCAAAAAATAGTTTTTAACTAATAAATTAGAAAAGTAGAGTATTACAAAATAACTTCAGAGAATGAAGAGTTCTCTGAGAAGAGATCTGAGGAACAGAAATCAGTTTTGCCTAGAACAGAAAAGTGCTAGTTAATTTATTCTAGGCAATTTGCTTCCACAAAAAGACTATATAAATATAGTCTTTAGGACAGTGAACACCATTTTTGACTCTTTCATATCTATCATTCAGAAGCAGAAAATTTTAGACTTCAGATAATAGAAGTTAAAGTCTACAATTTATGGAATCATTATATGTAGCTTATTTTCCAATTATATACTATTGTCATGTATCCATAATAATATGGACATAATTTTATATACATACTGTTGAAAAGATAAAAATCCAGGAAAATGAATAATTTTTAATTTGAATAAGTTAAATACCTTTACCTAAGAAAAACACCTTCATATTTAAATAAATATTGCCTCCAGAGGGCAAGTTAAAGTTGATTTAGATTCATCATTGTCTAATTTTCTAATAAAACAGGAAACCTATTTTATTGAACTATCTTCTATCTGTGAACATTTAGCCTGAGTTTTGTAGAGTAACAAGCTTTGAGGACAGTAACTTGAATGAGTGGACTATCTCAGTATCTTTATCCTTACTGAGGAGCCCTCGATAACCCCATAAACTCACTTATTCTGATTCTCCTGCAGATAATCAGAAAAATGAGTAAAGACACGTTAGTGGAACAAAAAGATTAAAGTAACCTGAGATTGACCTTCTATAGCTATAATAATTTTTCTCTTACTTTTACAAGTAAAAATAAATACTTCATACAAAAACTGTAAGATTTTTTAAAGAAGTATTTTCTGGCCTAGAAATGAAAAGGCCAGCTTTCAAATAATGCTTATTTTAAGTTTTAAAAAGTCATACTCATTCACCCTTCTCCATGGAACCAGGAAGCAAAGTTAAAAATCTGCCAGAGTAGTCCAAACTAGAGAGAATGGGCAACTAAATTAAGGCAATGGCAAGTGGGGCATAAGAAAAAAGAAAGAGGGACTTCATAGCGATAGTCTGGCAGCCTAGAGAGTAACTGGATGGAGAGTGAGAAGGGACATGGCAACTGATAATGGTAAATAAACTAGTAGGAAATACAGGAAAAAAACATGGCTGAATAAGAGAAAACAATGGCTTTAGTAGTAGGTAGTATCCAGCAAACAATTGAAAATTCAGCTCTGGGAGTCAGGAAATTGGAGATTGGGATCGGAGAGTTACCAATCAGCAGCAGCAGTGAAACACATACGTGACTGAGAGCAAACATGTGGAACAAGCACTAAAACCTCAAACTGAAAGGATGAGCAGAGAAAAAGAAAGCAAGACAGTAGACAAAGAAAAGACCATGGAAGAAGTGGGAAATAAGAGTGAGGCCCTAAAGCCGAGGGTCATGGAAATTTCAAGTAGAGAGTGTCAGTAACAAATCTGCTGAAGAGGAGGCTTTGGGGGATTTTTGCCATCAGGAAATGACTAAGCTGGTCAGGAGCAGTGACTCACTCCTATGACCCCAGCTCCTCAAAAGACTGGGAGAGGTGTGGTTTTTGAGACCAGTGGGAGTGGAGGGGAATTACTGAGACCCCAATCTGAGAGTACCAATCAATTGGTTGTGGTGACTCATGCCTGTCATACCAGCTTACACGGGAGCATAGACAGGATTGTGGTCCAGGCTGGCCTGGCAAAAGTGTGAGAGAGACCCTATCCAAAAAGAGCTGGGGGTGTGGCTCAAATGGCAGAGCTCTTGTCTAGCAAGCAGTTAGGGCCTGAGTTCAAACCCCATTACTGCCAAAAAAACCCAAAATGACCATCAGGTCACATCATTCCTCTGCTCAAAACCTTCCAATGGCTCCCATCTCAGAAAGGAGCCCAAGTCCTTACTGTAGCACACAAGATCCTTTATCAGCAGGCTAGCTCTCTGACCTCTGACCTCATCTCCTAGGATTCTCCCCCTGCCTCTTTGGTATCAGTCCTCTGGACTTCCACTGCTGTTCATCTAACACAATGCTTCTCAAATTTCAATGTCTATCAGAATCATCTAGAGAGCTTACTAAAAAAATAGATTGCAGAGTCCCCTCCCCCCACATCCTGATTCAGTAGCTTAGGGGCAGGCCTAAGAATCTGCACTGCTAACAAGTTGCTGGCCTTGCTGCAGGACGCCACACTTGGAGAGCTGTCTAACAGAGCCACAACAGTCCTGACATTTCTATCTCAAAGACCCTCAAAGCCTTATACTCTTACTTTATTCAGTTTATGGCTGGCATATCATCTTGTAAACTCCAGCCTTACCTCCCCAAAGAAAGGCCCAGTCAGGTTACCTGCAGTAGGGACCTCAGTGACAAACTCCTTCCTTGCCCTTGCGCGAGTCTCTAATCACCTCTGGAGCTCCTCTTTCTTAAATGTCAACAAAACATTACATACATAAGCAGGCATTTGAAACTGGCACAAAATATAGGCACCACAACAAAGTTTAAAAAATTAGGATTAGATTTACCTTTATTAGAAAGAATGATAATATATGAATTTCACCTGCAGTATGTATTTTTAACCAGATTGCCTGTAGCCCATGGCCTGTTTCTAAGTGGACTGGTATATTTTGTCTATTATTTGAACCTTAACAAATACTGGATAATGTTCAAAAAGTGAATGCTTTTGGAAATATTTTCTTTGAGGTAAAGTAGCCAAAACTTCATTTTTCCTGGAAAAGTTATGAAGTTGCTTAAATGCTTGTATGCTTAACTATATTTATCAGAACAAAGTTCATCTTTCAACAAGTGAAACTAAAGTCACCTTTTAACTCCCATTCTAGTAACTTTTTTTTTTCCCTAAAAGCTGCCACTTTGGGTTTTTCTAAACCTCTTCTTTATTCTCCTCTCCTGCCAAGAAGCTCTTGCATTGAGTTCTACCTAGGTGAGCTCCCTAGTCCTTATGAGTGGGAAGTGAGAAAAGATGGCAGATAGACCACGTGTATAATTTCAATATTTCTCAGAACTTCAATGAAGCCACATATGTTTTTGTTTTTTTCTTCTTAAAAGTAAACAGCTAAAGGTATACTTGGTGTGCATTCTAGGTGGATGAAGTATTAAAATCAACATTCAGGGCTGGGGATGTAGCTTAGTGTCGGAATGCTTGCCTGGCATGCCCTGGATTCGATCCTGGCACTGCAAAAATAAATTAATTAAATTAAATAAATGTTCAATTGTCACTAAATGTCACTATTCAGTAATGAATTACTGGGATAAAGAATAAATATGAAATTAAATTTTAAATATTTCATCACCGTTCCATTGTTTTTGTTTTTTGCAATGCTGGGGATTGAATCCAGCAACCACTCTACTGCTTGAGCAATGCCCCCAACCTCATTCCTAAGGTTTCTTTTAGAAATAATTTCTTAGCACTGAGAGTTGCTGGATTGATCCTGAGGTTACTACACTGTATAATACTACATACTTCCAAAGAAGTCATTAGAGAATGAAGATTATTTTGGGGTACTCCGCCAGCCCTAATGCTGCTGAGAATCATGGTACTACCTAATTATTAGACTGTCTTTCCTACACAAATTATGAAAGGCTTCTCTCCTATTCAATTTCTAGGGTTGAAAATTTGGTTACTAGTGATAATTATTGAGACGATTACTTAAGCTGAAGCTCTGTAAACTGGTGATGATGTTCTCTAAATATTTTCAGACAAGTCTAAGACTGCTGCTCTAACTTATTTTTTATTTTGATATTTTAATGCACTTATTGCTTTCTAGTATCACTTAAGAAAAATACACCCTTAAACCTTGGATCTAAAAGTGTGATAATGGAGGAATGGAACTGGATTTTAAGATACCAAAACAAGTAATTGATTTCCATCGACTTGTCTGTTTTGTTGTTGTTGTTGTTAGTTTGCTTGTTTTGTTTTTTTGTAGTGCTGGGGGTTGAACCCAGGGCCTTGCATATGCCAGGCAAGCACCTTACTACTGAGATGTGTGTCAGCTTTTACTGCATCCATGCCAATTTTACTATCTTCTCAAGAGTAGACTGACAGTATTGAATTGGCAGACCTCATATAAGAAATACCTCTGCTCCTCAAGGTGTACCCATTTGGTTATTTCAGAAGGTTCTAGTAAAAGAACAGCTTTCTCTACAAGCAAGGACTGGTTATTAGTTAGTAAGACCTTTTGTGCTGGCACTGTTACCTGTCGGGTATAATATTAAGACTCTTGTTCGAGCCACCTTTTAAAATGTACAACTTCTCTTCCATCTTGGCTTTGAGGTTGTTGTTGGTGGTTTTGGGTTTTTTGTTTTGCTTTAACACAGGGTCTCACCACATAGCCCAGTTTGGCCTTGAACTTGCAATTCTCCTGCTTTAGCCTCTCAAATGCTGGGATTACAGGCATCCAACACCACACCAGCTCCATCTAGTTTTAATAACCTGCAGAAATATCCTACAAAGCAATTTCAAAATTTCTTCTGTCATATAATTTTCCCTAGTTTGAATAAGCTTTTCACTCCTGAAATCTAGAATCAATATAAATCTAGGTGTGTGGCCCTATGCAGCTCAGAGACCCCGGCAAAGATGCTAATAAAACATTATGTGATGCATTTCCTTTCTAAGTATCTGTTTTATTCAAGAAACCTTGAGGCAAGAACTCACAGTTGTCTGAGAGGTAGAGGGATGGGAGAGAAGAGGTAAGTGCTGCCACAGGCAGAGCAGTTGTTCAACTTCCACTTCTTGGTTACCCTTAGATACACAAACATTTTTTTCCTAGCTCATAGATGGATTCACTGCTCTAGCTTCTTTAAAGAAAAAGCAAAACTGTATGTACTAAAGGTATGGCAACTAGTCAGACTACCTGATGGCCTAGTTAACTTGTGAAGTGACCTCACTAGCTCTGTGGCTTGTAGAATTTGGTTCTACAATGTGAATCCCAAAAGAATGTTATAGTGATATGTAATGATATACTGTTGAGCTTCTAAAAATAACTCAGAACCCTGCTAGTGGCAGTATTTTAAAAAATGTTATGATCTTAAACTTTTAAGTGACAATTTAGCTATATGTATTGAAGACTTAAAAGTATAGATTTTTTTCTGAACAGTAATTTACAATCCTAAAGAAATGCGAAAGGAATAAAAATGTACTTATAAGAATATTCATCACAATATTGTTTATAATAAGAGCTTATATATTCAATAATGGATAATGAATTGAAACTGTGGTAGTTATACAACATAAAAGTACATAGCCAATAAAAATAATGACAGGGACCTATATTTATTTATATGGAATATAATCATGATATATTTTGAAATGGAAACCACAGTTCATAAATGAGAAGATACAGGATTCTAGTTCTTTTTCAGAGTATCTATATGCATGATATACCTAACCATATAAAGGTATAGATAGTCAAGTATAGAAGAATCTTTTTTTTGGTAGTGCTGGTGATAGAACCCAGAGCCTTGCACATAATAGGCAAGCAATCTACCCCTGAGTAACGTCCCAGCCAATACAGAAGAATCTATACCAAAATATTAACAGCAGTTATGTCTAAGTAGAGAAGTATAGGTAATTTTGTATTTTCTTCTTTATACTTTTTTTCCTCTTTTCTGTATTTCACAAAAAGCATGTTTTACACTTACAATCACAAAAAGTTTAACTACTACGCAAACAACCACAGAACCATAAAGAATCTCAGTATCTGACTTACTTTGTGTCTTAAACACTGATAATAACTGCTAGAATGTCCTGGCATCAAAGGGCAAGTACATTATTTCTTCTTGGCCTAAAGGAAGGTCAATAATTCTCAGATTAGACAACTGAGAACTCTCAGGGTATCAAGTCAGTCAAAACTACTGAGCAGAGCTCTGAGGTCCAGAAACTTACAGACAGACAGAGGAAAACAATCTTTTCCTGACACAAGTTCTTCTGGAAATAAATAGGACATGTGATACAGTAACTTGAGGCAGGAAAAAACTTACTGCGGTGGACAGTCTGGATGCCAATGTCATTTCCAAGTTCCCTTTAAGACCAAGAAGTGCAGGAACTAAAATGAAAACTTCGGTTACATTTTTGAACACCTCCCAGTGCTGTGGAAACATAAAAATAAATATTTCTGACACTCTTAATACTTTACAACAAAAGCCATCTCTAAAAATCCTATGTTTGGGTTTTTTGTAGCTCTGTTTTGTTTGGTGGTACTGGGGTTTGAACTCAGGGCCTCATGCTTGCTAGGCAGGTGCTCTAGCATGTGAGCTACTCCACCAGCCCCTGAGATTTGAAGCTTCAAGTTACTTTAGAAGATTCAATAGGAGTTAAGGTGACAGCTGACAGTCACTACATCCCAATATATATCCACCATGCTATATAACCCTGAAACATAAGTTTCACTTTATCACTTTTTTTTTTTTTGCCTTGGTAGAGACTGAACCCAGGGCCAGACAAGAACTCTACTACTAAACTAATCCCCACACTACCACTAATCTACGTCCCCAGCCCTTGATTATTTATTTATTTATTTTGGTGGCACTAGGGTTTGAAGTCAGAGCCTGACACTTGCTCAGCAGGCACTCTTACTGCTAGCCACTCCACCAGCCCTTTTTTGTGATGGGTTTTTTTCAAGATAGGGTCTCAAAACTATTTGCCCGGGCTGACTTTGAACCGCGATCCTCCTGATCTCTGCCTAAGTAGTTGGGATTACAGGCATGAGCCACTGGTGCCCAGCCAGACCTTGATTTTTATGAGACAGGGTTTCACTAAGTAGCTCAGGCTGGTCTTGAGCTTACCATGTAGCCTAGGCTTGGCTGGAACTCATAAATCCTCTTGCCTCTACCTCCTGAGGGCTGGGATTATAGGTGTATGCCACCACATATGATTGCAAAAGTTAATACAGCTAGTGGTTAAGAGCACAGACTCTAGAACCAGACCATCTGGATATGAATCTTGGTTACAACACTAATTACAACCTCACAACTACTATTAGCTAACTTCACAAATGAAGAAATAAAGATTCAGGGAGGTTAAATAATATTCCCAAGGTCACCAAATAGCTAAAGTTTCATGTTCTGGTTTCCAGTTTAGGGTGTAAAGTAGAGAGGATGTGGAACACAGGACCACAAAAAAGCCCCAAACTGGAAATCAAATTTGTGCCTCTAAACATGGATCTGTCAAATCCCAGCTGTGTGATTCTGGATATGTCATATATCTTTCAAATCTTTGTGTCTTTATATATAAAACAAATACAGTATCTGCCTGTCTAGTGCTAGAAGAACTGTGAGAGTGGAAGTAACAGATATGAAAGTGCTTTCTAAACTGAAAAGACCAGAGAAATATTTTAATAACACAAAGTGACATTTTACAAATGCTGTTAAGAGGTGGTCATCCAAGTAAGAGGCTTTATGAACTAAGCATTTTAACTTCATGCCAAAAAGTGTCAAAAACACACATTTTGTCACTAACACCAAGACAGCTGAGTAAAGTAAAACTTACATTCATCAGAAAAATGAAAAATTTCTGGTTTTCTCCCAAAGAGGCTGCTCCAAATAAATACAGAACTGGGTCATAAGGGCAGTTTAGAAATGTTTATCACGTCAGTTGCCCCTAAAATCCTGGTTCAAAGAATTCACAAGAGAAATCCTTCCAAAACTCATGCCACTAAAGATGTGCCTAGTGGAGAGCGGGACAAGTTTGGCCCCCACGTCGTCGCCACCTGGTTACTTCAGCTCCTCTCTCTCGCCCTATGTATTCCGCCTTCAGTCAGGGGGACAGGTGGGGTGAGGGCGAAGTGGATGAAGAGGAGGGATGTGACCAGGCGGCCCGCGACTTGAGCGCGGAGTTTTCGGCGGGTGAGCATGGGCGTCCGAGCCCTGGAGCAGGCTGATGGACTGGGACTGGGACGGGTCGCCAGTGCTGCGCGACAAGCGCAACGGGGTCTTTCCGGTGGCCGCAGGCAGCCGGGCCCAGGCTCGGCGGTGGCCCGTCCAGCTCCTCTCTATTTTGTGTTCGCTGCTGTTCGCCGCCCTCCTGGCTTTCCTCCTCGCCATCGCCTACCTGGTCGTTAAAGAGTTGAACGCTGAAAATTGGAAGAATGAAGAGGATGTAGACACTGGGCTGTTAGGATCCCTAACTGCTGGATTCTCCTGCTGCAGCTTTTCTTGGACAGTGACTTATTTCGATTCTTTTGAACCAGGAATGTTTCCTCCTGCTGGGTTCAAGAAACTCACTGGACATTCTTTCCACGTGGGCTATAGCATGGCGGTTTTGAATGGCCCTATAGCTGCTCTTACTGTGCCATGGTGCCTCCTGTAAACCCACACTGGAATAATACTTTTGGCAAAAGTCATGATCACTTTGTAATAACAGAAAAGAATATCATTACCTACTCAGAAGACTACGAAACTTTTATATGGCTCAAATATATGTAATCATTGTCGTCACTGGGGAGGACCTTTCAAAGCATTATTCTAGAGCCTAAGCATTGGGGAATAGTTGAGTATGAAGTTTCGAGTACTTTCTTAAAAGTATATGCTTACCTCATCTTTTTACTTTGGTGTGGTAGTTCTTATCAGTTTTAGAGAGCATTTTAATGGAGATCAAACTTGGAAAATTGACTACAGGCCAAGGACTACCTTACCATATATACACAACATTTTTGCTAAGATTACTGATATTACTGTTTAATTGAGACAGTAATATTATTTACTTATACATAACATTTGGAAAACAAATAATGTCTATTACGATATTTTATAGAAGCTTCTTTTAAGTCAGGATAGTTTTCGATATTCATATGATCAATAGAAGGTGAATTTATACTTCTTATGGGGAATAATTCCTTATATATTTTCCTACTACATATCTAGAAAACTGTAAATGTTATTTCATAGCTGGTGCAACCTTGTCATTTTTACTAAGTATTTTGACTATTAACAAAAGCAGAAAAACACATTGACCTAAGTTTTAAATTAAATAAAACTATTTTTAACAAAAAAAAATCTGAAAAAGGTAAATTTAGTCATAAAAATAGAGAAATTTGAGGCTGTTGATTATTTCTATTTTCCATAAATGTAAATATGTTGATGTACATATGGTTACTTCAACAGAACTTATATTGCTTTGTTTTTAATAAATGAAAACCTGAAATTTTTGTATGCAATAAATAAATAAATAAAGATGTGGCTAAATAAGCACTGGGGGTAGCCTGGGAAGTAACTCAGTGGTAAAGCACATGTGCCAGGTCCTGGGTTCGATCACCACCACCACACAAGAAAAGAAAAAAACAATGGAGGCCCAGTAGCACCTAGAGTTCTCATCTTAAAAACTTACAAGCAAACAATTTTACCCATGTTTTAGAAGGGCTGAAGATTGCAAAGTGCTAACGGACTATGTACTCTTCCATAGTGAAGAATGGTGATGGTAATGCTGTTTATGGTGAGTCACACCAAACATTAACAGTAACAAATGTTAACAGTAGCTAACATTCACTATTCCAAGCAGTCTTCCTTAGACTTGTTCATTTAATCTTCACAATCAACCTAGGAGATAGATCCTGTTTTTATCAAATCCCAGACATAGCTCAGGAACACATTTTACCTAGGTCATCTTTTTAAGACATCTACCTACATCATTGGACCTGTTGAGATGCTACATCTCTAGGTTACTCCTTTGGTTACTCTTTTCAGGTTCAATTCAAATCAAATACTCATGTGAGTCTCAAATGAAATCTCTAGCAACTTGTCATTGATATGGTAAAAATAAGAGCTAACATTTATTGATTTTTCTATCCGTGCCAAAAAAATTCTACATTATCTTCTCTGTACCTCCAGACATATGCATGCAGAAGATCCCAAACTTTCTCAGAAATATTTTCATGGCTTTCCCAGGACAAAAGAACTATTTAACAGTCCTATTTATAAAGTGGTTATACTTAAACAACTTAATAAATAATTTTATCAAGTTTATAAATTTAAATAAAAACACAATTGAAAGAACATTAATGTCATTTTTATATAATCAGAATTACTTACTAAAGGGACATGGGTACCTAATGGGCACTGCATTTAACTTCTCAAACCTTGTCACCTTCATTTCCTGTTTTAAATTGTTTTGTGTGATACTTGCATTTTACCCATAGCACTGTTAAAACCTCCTTTGCAAAGATATGTCCTCATATCTTGTTAGTAGTCTGTGGATCATCCAAGAGATGTCACTGTGTTTCCCTCAAAATTTGATAAAATCAAGCCTGGCACAGTGGTACATGCCTGTAATCCCAGCTACATGAGAGACTGAAACAGGAGAATCATGAATTCAAGATCATCTTGGGCAAAAGAGAAAAACTTCAAAACATTTTTTAAAAAATATCGTACACCAACTTTGGGGTGTCTCAACCCAGTTTGGGAACTGTAGAAATAGTGGGAAGCAGTAGAACACAGCAGTCCACAGAAAGGGCTCTGCAGTCAGATTATGTAGGTTGAAATTCTGTCTCTACTAAATACTACGTGATCTGGGGAAATGATGGTTTACTTTCTTCATTTCAAATAGGGACATAATTGTACTTGGACCGTGCCTGTACATGCAATGAAATGAGTGCTTATTAACTATTAACACCAAGATATATTATCAGTTAATTTTCCCAAAAGAAACAAATGCCAACCAAGAATCCTATGACTAGCAACTGTATTTCAGAAATTAAAGAGAAATAATGTCTGTATAAAACCAGCAAAACCAGAAAATTCATCACCACCAGACTGGCTTTCAGAGAAATGATTAAGGGAGTCCTACAATACATGCAAAAGGATTACAACTACCATGATAATGCACGAAAGCACAAAACTCACTAGAGGGGCTACATAGAAGAAAAAGAAAAACAATCCTTCTCAATACAGAAAACCACAAAGATGAAAAGAGAATCAAGCCTTATGAATATAGAAAACCTCCAAATCACAAAAATGAGAAAACAGAGAGGAAGAAAGGAACAAAGGCTATACAAAACAATTAGAAAAAAATTCACAAAATGAGCTGGGCATGGTGGCATATACCTGTAGTCCCAGCTACTTAGGAGGGTAAGACAAGAGAGTCACTTGAATATATA